AACAATTTAAATTTCCTTTAATTACCTGAATGTTGCATTCAAACAGTGTTTGTTTTGCGTGTGTGCATGTGTGTGTACATGCATGTGTATGCATGTGTGTACACAAGTGTGTGTGTATGTGTGTTCATGTTTGTGTGTTTTGTCATCCAAATTTTCTAGCTCATGTTCCTATATTATACAATCTGAAAAACCCGCTTGGTTAGCTTAAAACGTTGAACACTTGTTAGTGGCTGTTCAACTAATTTTTTAGCACTGATTTAAACTAGTCTAAAATTTGGTTTTTATGTGAGCAGAGTAATAAGAGGATTAATGTATTTTACTGACAACATTAAAAAGCAAAGCATCATTTAACTAAAGGGCATTTTGAAGAAAAATAGTAGGGAATAGCCTCTCTTTAATTTTAATAGAACTAAACCAGGTTATAGCCTGGAATTGCTGACTTGTAATTAGAATAAAGTTGAAAAGAGGAATGGAAATGGTCTAGTCTCTAGTCTTCAAAACTATCAAACATTAAAGAAGGCAAGTTTTTATTCTCCCAGAGACATGAATGACTGAATTATTATCCTGTTATCTCAACATGTACATGCTTTCTCCTTTTAATTATAGAAAATTATTTCTAAAGTAAAAGGTTAAGTAAACAAGGAATACAAGAAGGGATTTGTCATTTAGCCTGAACTGTTATTTATTTATTTATTTATTTATTTATTTATTTATTTATTTATTTTGGTCTTCGGATATGATTATACAATGCAGAAATACTTCTAAACCTTGTCAACCTGAATGTTTCCTACATGCAAGTGTGAGAGGAAGAAATAGGCACAGATTGCATACTTCCTCAATTTGGGGCAATTTGAAGAAGACTCAACAGAAAGTCATGAATTTAATATTTGCAGTGTATTTACAATCTGTTTGCCCCCCCTTATTTCCAGACATCTTTCTGAATATTTTAAAAACAATAGTGTTCTGAACATTCCAGTGTGTATTTATATATGATTATGTTTATCCAAGTCGTTCATTAACTTTTCTTTTTTACAGAAATTGGGCCTGAAACTTCATATTTATATAGTTTATAAATTCTCAGAAAAAGCAGATATTTGTAAGATCATGGAGAGAATTCAAAGTGCTTTGTGTCTTGAGAACATTGATCTGATATAGTGATAAGTATATGCTTGGAAACTAGTTATAATTCTTCAAGTTTGCAAAATAAAGAAAGTTCTCAGTTTTTGGCAGCTGAGATAAAAAAGATAATCAAGGAAGAAGAGGTTCTGTTTGTCTTTTTTCTAGCCCTTTAGATAGAGTGCCCCATTGCTTCCTAGTTGTGGCAAGTATACGTTAATGCAAAATGGGGTTATGAAATACCCACCTTTGCTTGCAGAGTATGCTATTTTGCAGAGAAGCAAAAAATATGTCTAGACACTTTTACTGTAGCAAGCTATGGGCAGATAAAAAGACTCAGTGTGAAGGGTGGACACTCACATCCCATCAGAAGCACTAATTTAGATTGGCCCCAATTTCCCTTATGTAGCCTGAAAATGCTTTGCCATGGAGGACAAGCATTTTTTCAACTGAATCGACAAAAACTATTTTCTTACCTGATTTGTTATACAATTAAGGATAAGACTGCTTGGCACACACACACACACACACACACACACAAAAGAAAATCCTGTCTCCATCCATCCATAAACAATAAATAAAACCTGTCATGAATATATGTGATTACAGAAAATGGAAAATCTATGAGATGTGTATGATATAAGCTTTATGTGTTATTTTAAGGCATATGTTGGGTAAAAAGGGGGCAGTATTGGCTGGGTCAAAAGTAACTTATAGTAACATTTTCCTTCTCTGCCCAGTACCTGAGAATCTCTCCTCTGGTCACTGGTGTTGAGACTTTGTAGAAACAGAAACTTTCTAGGCTCTGAAGAGGAATTTTTTCTCTAATTTCATTGATGTGGAATGCCTTTTCTTTTGTCTCCCTTTCAGCCTGGATGAAGCTTAAAGGAGAGACAGTCACAGTTGTAAGTATGATCCACAGTGGTAAGAAATTAGAAATCCTTTTCAAAATACATAACTCTCATCTCTGCAATTTACAGTATTTCTGAAAGTGAGGAATACAGTAGCACCTTTAGAATACCAGCCACTTACACAGTTTCCCCACCAGCTGCCATGAAAACACAAAACATATTTCTCAAGTCTAAATGCAAAGCAAGCTGGCCAGAGCTCTACAGGCGCTGGGTCTGGGTGGAACAGCCTTACACCCATGCACCTCACACATACACTACTAACCAAGCATAGTGGTGAAGGAGAGTCCCTCAATTTAAGAGAGATACATTTCCTTCACATTCTTCCTGTGCTTCTCCTCTTCCCTCCTCCAAAAGGTAAACTCTTACATAGTTAATAAGCAAGCCCCTGAGCTCTGTACCTGCATGAGGTACATACCATCTCTTGTATTGTGGACTGAAGGCTTATCTCAGAAGTTGAGACTTATTAGAGAACTTGAACAGACAAGCCTGCAGAGAAACTGACATTGGTGTGTTCTGAGGGGATGTTTGAGTTCTTTTTAGTCAGAACCCATTGTGGGTAGATTGCTGTATGGGCAGGAGTCTATTTTATACTTTGTGAGTGAACATCTATGAGACTCTCTTGAAATAAAAGTTTTCCTTTATGGAGAAATGAACCATGAACTAGTGTTTAAATCAGCAGGATGGCTGAGATCAGGGGGAAGAGAATGGTTGGATTCAGCAAATAGGTTATTGGTAAGTATATCCTACACATATAATTTTATGAGTTGCCAACAACACCCAAATATTGAGTAGCTTTGAAATAAGAGGCATCAATATAATTTTTAAGGTAAAAGTAGAGCAAATTTATCTTATAAAAGTGTTCTTAGGTTATGTCTCTTCCAAGAAGAATTTCACTAGAAAATTCATCTCCTTCCATAACTACTTTTAAGACATAACAGGTTGAAATTCTTCATATTGTTAGATATTATAAATTCATAAAGATGAAAATTATGCTTGAAAAGGACTGACTTTGGACCACCTTCCATGGGTACTCAGTGCTTTGGTGGGATATGGTGGATTCCTTTGGTCAGGGTGCCTCCAGGACACCACTGCCAAGTGTGGGGGAGTAGTTTATGCATGAGAGACAGAACAAGGATGCTAGTATGTGAAATTCTTCAATAGAGTAGAAATTTCATATAAGCCAATAGGTTCAACTTGTTTCTCCACAAATATTATTTTATGTTTTAAATTGAATTTGCTAAATAGAACCCAATTGGCTTGTGGCCTATGTAGCCACTATTAAATCAAAGTCAGGGAGATGACAGGAAGAAAAGCTGAGGACTTGGGTGTCTCACACTATATAGATTCAGTCCTTGAAAGCTGGGTGATCATACCAATGTATTTGCATTCACTTGATATGAATGATGTTTCATAAATATAAACAGATTTATATTTTACTTTTCTAGCCTCTTCCACTCCCATCCCCTTATGTCTGGTCTTAATCCAGTAAATTATGTGAAATTAGCACTTTTATATATTCTCTCTGTGTATTATTTTACCTTTTTTCTGAGTAATAATTGTACTTACAATAGATAATTAAAATAAAATTTTATGGTTTCCAATAAAATTAATTCAATTTTATGGGTGAGAAAGATGAGAAGTACAGAGATACTGGTAGCAAAATTTTAGTACCAAAATTTTAATAATGCCAAAGCATTATTAATGAACTGGTGGGACTGTTTTTCCTATCAATGGTGGGAGGCTTCTGAAGAGTCTTGTGAAGTTACATACTGGTATCCAGTTATAACAAAGAACTAACATCAAGAACCAAGTTAGTTTTGTGTTATAAAAATATCAAAAGAGTAATAATTTCAGGGGATTTTTTCTTTGGGATTTTGCTACATATTCATATCTCAAAGTATAAAATAATTTTGTTCATCAAAATATACCATTGATGATAGCCATTGCCCTTTTTTTGCATCTAAAGTTGATTTGACTTGAAAGTTAATTATAACTATGAAAATTTTAAATTCCATCTATATTTCTTTCACACTTTGGAAAACATTTTCACGACAAGAGCTTATGAGTGCTGTATACTTGTCTTTGCAAGATGAAGATAATCATTGAACCTGTAATAGCATAACATACAAAAGATACATACTCTGGGGTTGTGTTTTGGTCTAACAAAACACAACTCTTAAGGTAAAATGTTGAACTCCAACTGAACTAATCCAAGAACCCAAAGTTAAAATACTGCTTACTTTTAGTAGTTTGGAATAGAGTAATAACCTTCTGATGTTCAGAGATAATCAACATCATTGAATTCAGCAACATGAGAATTTTTCAAATCATATTTTTTTCTCAACTGGAAACTTGTGGATAATGCATATACACCCTTCCTAAACCTAGGGTGAGATTATTAAATAAAGAAATTCTAGGTAACAATGATAGTTCCAGAGTAAAAGAGAGGAAACCAGGTCAAAACTCACTGCAGTTCATACTTGAACTCAGACTGTCCAGGAACACGGGGATGAGGTCAACATGAGTGTGTCCCAGCAAGCAGTGACTCCACACATGTGGGCACTGGTGCTCCTAAGAGTTGCTAAGGAAAGATATAGAAGGGGTCTTGGCATAAGAGAGCTTCTCAGATATTTGCTTACATGTTTTACAGATTTCCTTGCAACGACAATTGGCAACTGTTTCCAATATCCAAAAACCATTCATAAACATCACCAACTTACAGATTCAATAAGGGATTAGCAAGAATATCACTTTAAAACTCAATTAATGTGTGTGTGTGCACGCATGTGTGTGAGTGTGAAATGCATAATAGAAATGGTTGTCAGGTACTCTGGTGCTGCTCAAAGGTAATGTATAACTTCAGATAAACTGAGCAGTGTTTTTCCTTCCTACTCCAAGTGGTCACTACTGGTCTGGGGACAGTGAAAGTAAAGAGTGAAATCTAGTGCTCTTTACTCATCACCACAGAAATATTTAGAGATACAGGTATCCAACCCAATAGACCAAGTTGAAGAGCAGGAATGATGTAGGGAAAAAGACCCGAGAATATGAGTCCAGCTCCAAGATGTCTATGTGAATACGCCCTTTTTTCCAAGATCCGGATTTGCATTCTTCATAGCAGCAGAAGAAGCTCTGACAGTCTTTGCCATCCAGACACTCATAGACGCAGGTATCTTCAAATTCCTGCCAGTACACAGAATTGTTTAAAGTGATCATTGCAGGTGGTGGTGGCCTCACGTCAAGGAGAGAATAGTTCTGTAGGCAATAAGAACAACACAAGAATCATCATGAATGCAATAAGAACAGCCTGAGATAAATCTAGCAATTAGGTGCATGTTATATCTGTCCACCAAATAAGGAGGATAATGCCATGCCTATTCCCACACATCCCCCATCCCTGAACTGGACATTTCAGTCTTTTAGAGTTCAGTCTGCCAATTAAATATTTGAAAATCCAATGCAAAAAAAGTACAATGCAGCTTTCAAAAGTTGCATATCTCAAATTGCTGGTGAGGGAAGCTGAGCACATTTTCAGATATGTATTAACCATTTCAAGTCTCTGTTCTGCCTACTTTTCTGTTGATTTGGAGTAAATATGTACATATTGTATATAATCCCCAAATATTAAGCACTACATATATTGAAATGTGGAGAGATAAATTTGTTTTTCCCTAATTAGTAAGTAGTAAAAATATGGTATTATAAGACTGATGGCAGAATCTTCTTGTTCAATGTAATTAAGGTAAAAAAAAAATGTGTGGTGGCCAGACACCATTTGTCTCATATAGAGAAATAGCCAAAAATGTGTACAATTGGAATGTTTTATTTTCTATTTCCCAAGCTCTCTTCCTGACGTGGAAAAGTCAGTGTAGGGCCTGTATAGGAGAGGGGGTGACTTACGTTCACTCATAAATGAGATGAATCACTTTTAACCTTGAGAAGTGTCTTCATATAGACTTGCCAATTCCTCAGGCACTTGTTTGAGCTCTTCCAGATAACTATGAATTACGTATTAAATTGAAGTCTGTTAAGAGGTTATATTTCTAAATTTGACTGAATAATGTGAGAGTATTAAGGATTATAGTTGCCTTTCTGCTTTAGTTTTATTTGTGCTGGTTGAACTGAGGGACTGAAGTGTGCCAATGGAAGTAGTGAAAGCTGAAATCAAGGGAGAGGTGAACACACAAACCCAGTTCTCAGCTGACTGGCTAGATCTGTTGTTCCTTGCTTGGGGAGAGAGACCTTCCAAAATTCATTGGAAAGCATCGTGAATACCTCTTATGCAGCTGATCCTTTAACAACATGGATTTCAATTGTGCAAGTCCACTAATATGCAAATTTTTTTCAATGAATACAAGTCCAGTACTGTTAATGTATTTTCTTTTCCTTATGATTTTCTTAATCTTTTTTTCTCTAGTTTACATCAATGTAAGCATATAGTATATAGTACATATACAAAATATATGTTAATCAACTATTTATGTTATTGGTAAGGCTTCCACTCAATGATAGGCTATTAGTAGTTGAGTTGTTGGAGAGTCAAAAGTTATATACACATTTTTGACTGTGTGTGTGTGGGGGGGGGTGGGAGAAAAGGCAGCACCCTTAATCCCTGCATTATTCAAGGTTCAACTATATTTTTTAAGGGTCAACTGTATTTTTACCCAAAACTATTTTTACAAGGAAACAGTGTACATCTTTTCTTCTACTTCTGGATTTTAGTTTGATTGAATATGCTCATAGCTATGTGAAGCTGAAAACCAGAGAAAAGAAGGTAAAAGCGTATAGCACTCAGTGTCCCTATTGGTAAGCTTTGGGGCATTTTTTTTTATTTTTATTTTATTTTTTTTTTAATTTTATTTATTTTTTTTTTTTTCATAATGCTTATTTATTTTTGGACGGAGAGAGAGACAGAGCACAACTGGGAGGCAGAGAGAGGAGACACAGAATCGAAATAGGTTCCAAAGGCCTGAGCCACCAGCTCAGAGCTCGATCGGGGCCTGAACTCACAAAACTGATCAGACCTCACAAGTCGATGGAATCCCACTTCACCCAAAGTAGTACTTTTAATTAGCATTTGTAACCACCAAAGAGACATCCCAGACCATGTTCACTAAGAATACTTCGTCACTCCACACATACTAATGACCAGTCAGGGAGCATCATGGAAAACCTCTCACCCTTCTTCCCCCCCCCACACCTTGGCAATGATAGAAATGAAAGCTTTGTATAGGCTCTACTGTGGACACATTCCTCGTTACATAGTTCTTAAACCTGAGTGGCATAAAAAACTGCGGGGGGGGGGGGGGTAGGAAAACAAAAGTTGACTCCTTCCCACTCATGGCATTTGAGGAATCTGTATCTTTTGGCAAGATCTGGCTGGAGAAAAATCTGCCTTTTAAAGTAATTGTATATGTGTGTTTTGATAGTGTTCAGCTAGATATTCTCATCCTTTCATTTCATCAACACTTTGTCCCTGTGTAGTGACATAGATGAGAAGGCTATTACTGGCAGTGATAAAGCCCAAAAGAAGATTCAGACCAGCATCAGGAAGGCTCTGAAAGGGTGGGGACAGTTCCCACCCAAAGGGGTGATCAAGGAGCAAGAGGCACTAAGTACAGCCAGGTTTCTGGAGCAAGGAAACCCATCTACTCTTTCATTTAACAAACTAAAAAACTCATGATTACGGGCTTTGGGTGGCGAGTCGGTTAAGCTGCCCAACTTCAGCTAGGTCACCATCCGTCCCAGCCCCGCCAGGCTTCCCTCCCAGGCTGATGGCCTTTCAGAGCCTGGAGCCTGTTTCCATCTCCCTTCTCTGCCCCTCCCTCTGCTCATGCTCTGTCTCTCTGTCCCAAAAATAAATAAACATTGAAAAAAAAAATTAAAAAAAAAAAAGTCATGATTACTGAAACATAAATAAACCTGATCTAATAATTGAGGGCTTTTAATAAATAAGTAAATAAATATGGAATAAAATTAATTGCATCTTATAATATTATTATTCATTATTGAAGATAATATTACCAGCCATATGTTAAACCCATACTTCTTTTAAAATGTATATCTCTCACTTATCATAAAAATTTCAAAATTGGGCTCAAAATGGAGATTTTAATTAATGCATCTCCAAGGTCACCTACAGCCTGACCACTCCTGCTTGTTTGCATGTATGATGCAGTCCCTTGACTTCCCTGGAAACCTGTGCTTCCTGGGTGGCAAGTTCTACTGCACATATGAAGTGGTTAGCTTTGCATTTTACAGGTTAGGAAACTGAGGCACAGAGATGTTCGAACAGCTTGACCCCAAAGTGTGTGTTAGTGGGCCTGCCTCCTCTCCCTCATTGCTCAGAGACTGATCATCTCTGCAGATGTTGGTGATAGAGGGTCCCTTAACTAGCCTAACCCTGTGGATCTTTCAACATAGAATTGAATACATTGACAATTTTCATGAAAAGTTTGAAAATTCCCTTTTTTTCAAAAAAATTAAGTTTATTTTGAGGGAGAGGGAGAGAGAGAGAGAGAGAGCACAAGCAGGGTAGAGGCAGAGAGAGAGAAACAGTCCCAAGCAGGCTCTGCACCACCGCTATCATCACATTGGAGTCAGGGAACCAGAGACTGAAGACTTGGAGCCAAAGGCAGAGGCTTAATGGGCTGGACCACCCAGGCACCCTGGAAAATTCCGTTTTTCTTTGGCTATTTTATGAACTTTTGTTTAAGATCTCTCTGTGTCTTCTCACCTGGCCTGGAGCCCTTTCTCTCTGAGTTGTTTTTCTATGTACTTTCTTCAAGGTCATTACAGTTTTCCTCTTAAAAACAAAAGAAAACAATTCTGATTTTGTGAAAATTTATTATTATTATTATTATTATTTGCTATGTAAAAGATTCTTTTTTTTGGCAATATCTTTTGTATATGAAAGGTGTCAATATTTCTTCTTCCACTCCCAGCTCCCTGGCTGTGTGTGATAATGTGGTTTCTAGGCCTCACGATATGTGTTCTGACTTGTCTTTGTTTACAGCATCCCCATTCCCAACCCTTTCCATTACTTTTCAGTCTGTTGCTATTTGGAAGCATTTGCTGGCAAATCTGTAGTTCTCTGTGGCTTCCCACAGCTATAAAAGTGGCTTCAGCACTCACCTCTGTCAGAACTAAAATGATACACTTTCAGAGTATAGATAACCAAGCAGTCACTTTCAAAAAACATGTTGAAAGGCACTAAACATAAATTACTGACCAGCAGTTAGAAAACCATGTATGGTATATAGGTGGGCATAAAGCATTCAGTGTAATTAGTATAAAGGAATACAAGTAGTTATATATAAATTTTGTTATATGATAAAAGGGTAGCTCACATCAGTAATTTTAAGACATTTCTCTATTTTTCAAAAGTTAAATTCTTACTGCAAGCCATATACTTAAAATTCAGATGCATTACTAATTAAATTTAATAATATTATAAATTGTTGAACCTTCATCAATATTTATAGGGCTTAATTTCTCCGTATTTCAGCTTCCTTGTTAGTAGAATGGATGAGGTTACATGAACTCACACATGAAAGCACTTACAACATAGGGTCAAACAGAGTAAGTGCTCAAAAGAAAGTGACGGGAGTTAGATCATTCTGAGGGTAGGGAGGACCTTCCCAAAGAGGACACAAGAGGCAGAGACCACAAAGGAAAGACTGATAGATTTGGCAACAGGAGACTTAATACATGTGGAGAAAAGCACAAGAAACGACAGTGACAACATGGCCATAAAACTGGAATAAAACTACTTAAAAAACATATTAATATGCTTAATTATTCTGTATGCGAGTATATAAATTTTATGTTATATAAAATATAATATGCATAATATATGATATAAGTAACTGGCAGATAGTTACTTTTAACTTTAAAAAAGTTAAGACATAAATAAGTTATAAATGTTATATAAAAAACTTACATAAAAGAAGACATAAAAAGCAATTCACAGTAATAGAAATGCGAGTAAAAAAATAAACAAGTGAAATATATTCAACTTTGTCAGTAATCAAAGAAATGATAAAGGAACATTTTGCAGGAGCCATTTTTCTGTTTGTCTATCAAACCTAATGCAAGGAGAGTTCTGGGAGGTGGGTGTCCCACACTGCTAATAGAGCCAAGCAACTCTTCTGACCCAGCCATTTTGCTTATAGGAAATTATATTAATAGTCACAGGTATATACAAAACTGCAATGATAAGAATATATATAAAAGTGAAACGGTGTGTATTAGCCCCATTTCCAGCCACGGCTATCTGTGCGTCAATCATTGCATATAATTCAATCATTAAAATGATCCTATAAAATAATATTATAATGCAGAAACTTATTCATAACATTTTTGAGTTACAAAGCAGAAATATGTATGTATATGCTGATCCCTGGGTAGAAGGATTATGATTATTTTGTTCATTTTCCAAATTTTCTAAGTTGGATATTTAAAAAAAAGTATACACACTTTTGAAAGGAGTATGTGCAACACTCATTGTTCTTCAATATATGCATACATAAACAATAACATATTCAATCTTAATTTAGAAGAGTTCTCAGAAATACTTGCACCTTCAATGCTATACATACGGAGGGGGCTTGTAGGCTTATTCGCTCATGAATCCACCTTGAGGAATCTGGATGCAATAACTACAAGAAAACCAGAAAAAAACAATTAGAAACCTTCTGTGGAAATCTGCATTACAGATCACCTTAGTTAAGAGAAATCATTCATGTGTGATTACATCAATCCATGTCACTGGTAGGTAAAGTTGAAGAGGTACTTTATGGTTATATTCATATCTTCAGAATATTTGTCTTTTTTTTAATGTCTTGTTGAATTACCTATTTATATAACAGTGTAGAAGATCCTTAGGAATAAGGATCATTTATTGCAAACTATCCTTCCCCTACCTTTCCAGAAAATCTTTGCTACTGGAACTTACCGATGTTTTCTTCTTAGTGGTAGTTGGTTTTCTACAACTTGAATAGTAGTTGAGGGTGGCATACTCCATCAGAGCAGCAAAGACAAATAAGAAGCAAACAGTCACAAAGAGGTCCATGGCTGTCACATAGGACACACGGGGCAAGGAATTCCTGGCAATGGTGCTAAGCGTGGTCATGGTCAGCACTGTGGTGATGCCTGTACAGGGAGGGGATAGTTATCAAGTTGTAAAAGGAACCACACAAAATTCCTCCACTCCAACAGTGTTTTATTTTTAGGTAAATCCTCATTGACATTGGATAAATGTAATAATACTTTATTTTTAATGTCTATACAATTTTGCAAACAACATTTCCATAGAGCTTTTACCATAGTCTTCACAAAAACATTAAACTACCTGAGTTAAGTCAACACCTTTCAATTTATTCAGAAATTCTCAAATTGTCTTATATTTTCTCTTTTAAATATTTTTTAAGTGATACAGTTTGCAGTCCCCCAGACATTTTCTCTGTTCCACATCTCACACTATTCTTTTGCCAAATAAACCATTTCCTTTCTTGCTTTTTCTTTTTTTTATTATTTTTTTTAAATTTTTTTTTTTCAACGTTTATTTATTTTTGGGACAGAGAGAGACAGAGCATGAACGGGGGAGGGGCAGAGAGAGAGGGAGACACAGAATCGGAAACAGGCTCCAGGCTCCGAGCCATCAGCCCAGAGCCCGACGCGGGGCTCGAACTCACGGACCGCGAGATCGTGACCTGGCTGAAGTCGGACGCTTAACCGACTGCGCCACCCAGGCGCCCCTCTTGCTTTTTCTTTATGCAATTTGTGAACTCCCACCCTTCTTTAAGACCAAGATGAAGTAACACTCTTTCTGAGGTCCTATTGCATGCACCTCAGAGTTGATAATGTGAATCTGCACTACCTTGTGCCTTCTATGTACCTCATTTCTACATTAGCATAGATAATTGCATATGTCTTTATGGTTTTTGCATGTCTGTCTCCCTGAATAAATTGTGTGATCATTACAAGCAAAACTGTATCTTGCTCATCTTTGCTTACCTGTCAGCAAGAATTGTGCCTAACACATTTTAGGCATTCGAATGGAATGCGTTGATTCATTGATCAATTAGTTAATTCATAATACTTAGTGTTGGTCTGACTTTGACACTGATGGCAGGTGTATTTTTATACAAAAAAAGGTTTTGTAATGAATATCCAATTTAACTTAAAAAAAAATATGGTGACCATGTCATGCCTACAGAATATCTAGGTAGGAATTTTTTCATTAAATTTGGGGATTTTTAACTTCATTTCTTCAAAAATTTTTATCTTATTTTATTTTATCTCATTCTGTAACATCAGTTACAGCTATGTTATACATCTTCATATTTTCCAACAGACCACTGGGATTTATGTTTTAAAAGCTTTTATCCCTGTCTTCTTCAGATTAGCTAAATTTTGTATGATGGTCTTCAATTATGCCTGAACTTTTTTTCTGCTCTCTTGCATCTGCTCTTAAGGCCATTTAATGAATTTTTCAATACAACTATTATACATTTCATTCTAGAATTTACTTTTTAATATACTTTATTTGCTGAGATTATCCATCTGTTCATTCACTAACATTACATTTTCCTCTAAGTCCTTTAACATTGTTAAAATAGCTGCTTTAAAGCCCATGTCTGCTGACTCAAAATCAGAGTTGTCTTTTTATATTGATTTTTTTTTCTTGATCATGAGTCACATTTTCCTGCTTCTAAGAATGTCTAGTAATTTTTTATTATATACTCAATCTTGTGGATGATACCTTACAAAGACTATGAAGTATGCTATCCTTTTTAAAAGCATGTTAAATGCTTTCTTTTGGCAGATAGTTAATTTACTGATTGTTCTCCTTGATCTTCTCATGGCTTGATTTAAACTTTATTCAAAGCAGTCCTACAAGTGCCCCTTTAGTTTTAAGCACAGTCTTTCTGGTGTCTCAACTAAATATTCTGGTGTTAATGACATTTCTTCACTCTTCTGGAGTGTAAATATATTATCTTATCTTCCAGCATTATGTATTTCTAGTATCTCTAGCCCCTTAATGCCATAGTGGTAACTCTTTGACAGGACTTTCATAGTCTCAAGTTGTGCAACCAATACTACATATTATATTGTTTTGAAGCTGATTTTTAAAGTCATGCTTACCTGGCACTTGTAATTGTGAGGTAATAACCCCAAGAACAATTACTAAATTTGTGTTGTAACTTTGCTGGGTGATTTACCAATTTTATTATGCATTTTCTAGAAGTATGCAAAACTAACACTGGCAACAGATATTACAGGTTAGTTTTTTTGTTTTTTGTTTTTTTTTTTTTTTTTGCTCAACCAGTACTTTGTTGTTGAACAAACAGAATAAAATGAATACAGAAAAAGCAACATGTAATGTGAGAGGTTTTGCAAGGATTTTAAAATTGGGGCAGCTCCCTCTTTTTTCTGAAAGACATTTTTCTGGGAAAACAACTATATATTTAATATATATTACCTGTTTTCACAGGTCAAAATATTGAAAGTTAGGTAATATTCCTGTCATAAAGAAAAATTGATATAAAATGTTACACAATTCTAAAACCACTGAAATTTAATGTTTTATTAAGAGGACTTTTTTGGGGGGGGGTCAGAGGAAAATTCATGAAGACTTTGAGATTTAGTGTGTAGATTATAGCTGAAAAGAATGATCACTTTCTTGTTTGATGGTAAAGTTGCTATAGACAATCTCTTCTGTTATTGAGAGACTATTTAATGATATCGTGTCTTCAGTCTTCAAAAGTGCATGAAAAGTTGTGTGTCCATACACTGATGTAATGAGATTTTCAGCATGACAGATTCACAGGACATGACTACATTTTTATGATTGACATCATCCTTAGAGTATCAATGATGCAATTGATTTATTCTGAATTCCCAACCCCAACTGATTTTAAGTGGCACACATAGAATTCTATTGTCAGAAAGAAGAGTCTAACTTGACTACTTAAAGCAATCCAAGTACATTTGACTAAAGTCTTTTTCACTGGAAGTATTTTTATTAATACTTCTGTGTTAATATTATACAAAATGGTGGAAGAGTTTTTTGTTTTTTGTTTGTTTGTTTGTTTTTTAACTCACCTAATGCTGTTCTTGCTGGTGTAGCATCTTTTTTGATCCAAAATGACACCCAGGATAAAACCACAGTCAGTATACAGGGAATGTATGTTTGAATAGTGAAGTATCCCATTCTTCTACTCAATTCAAAATATATAGTCATGACAACATAATCACCTGTAATAAAGTATTGTCAAAAAGTAAAACAACTTTCTTTGGTTAAAAAATAATTCAGGGGCAATAATTTTGTTAAATACATGACTTGGATAAAAATATACAACTACAGTAGTAAGTTGTGAAAAAAGGTCAAAATGCTGGTGTTCTTAAACTTAATTTTTATAAACTTTATTTTATCTATGGCTTTCAAGGCATTTTACTGGTCACCGGAAAAGACACACAAACATATTAATTGATAGAGGAGACAGACATGCGCATCTATTCTTTGACATATTATTACATAACGAGCTATTATTGCTTGAGTCCATCTGTGTGTTGCGTGTTTAAAATCAGGGGTAATATGATAGAAGAAGATAGGATTCAGTAGGCAGAGAGGGAAAGATGAGGACCTGAGGCCCCCGGTTAGGGAAAAACACGTATTTGGAAAAATTCTGGGAGTGTCTGACCACAGGAAAAGCCCCCAGGCATAAAGCTCCTCTTAAGAATGTAACAGACCCCACCTACTCCCTCTCAGGTTTCCCTTAGGAATTTAAGGAAAGACCTAGGTGTGGTCATAGACACCCCCGCCCCCCCCACTGCTTTTAATGGAAATGAGCCAATCCAGAATGGACAACCCAGCACCCAGAGTCATCCAGAGGGTAAGGGCAGAACCTGAGAAGGAACAAGGGGAAAGGGAAGGGGAGGGGAGGGCTAACCAAAACCTTTTAAAGCAAGGACACTTGCCTAGTGTCCCAGGCCTTCACTTTTGAATGTCTCCTTTCTGTAAAGAGAGCTTTCCTACTATTCTTACTTTCTAATCTTATATTCTAATAAACTTTTGCCTGTTGCTCATTTTGTGTCCACGTCTTAATTCTTCAAAGCAGCGAGAAAACAAATCCGGGTATTGTGGTTAAAAAAAAAAAAAAAAAATCCTGCAACAGTAACATAACAAAATCCATCCTCAAGTAGATCCACAGTCATTTTGTTTTTTTCAATAGTAACAGAGCTATACATAAGCTTTCATACATAAATTTGTGTAACAATTTTATATTTCTATTTTTATAGCATAATTTTAGCTTATCAATCTTGTACTTTATGTTTTACTCGATATTTTTAGGTTGATGTTATCCTTTCATGACTCCAGCAGTTAGGCTGTGCCAACCCAGAAAACAAAAAGAAATCATTTTATGACTTTGCTTCCTCCTACTACAGCAAAGCTACACCATAAAAGAGTTGGGAGGAAAATAGTTGTTACTATAATGAGATTCCACAAGATTCCTGGTGGATAAGGAGAAGTTGCATGCTTAATACATGAGACATTTTATTCCAAAATCATCTCTATTTTGTATCTTTTCTGCATAACCTCCTGCTGAGAGGATGTCTATCCCCCCTTCCCATTTGACTTTCATTCTTCAACATACTGGATTGTCTTTCAGCACCTGAAATTCAGTGTCCAGACCTGAACTATCATATCCCCCACACCAGGCTGTTCTCTCATCTAAGCCAGGTCCTTCTCTCTATTCAAGGCACAAGTCCAGAAACCACCTGTCACTTCTTTTCCCTTATTCAATTCCTGCATTGCTCTCAATGCCTTTCCCCGCAAGTACCAGATTCTCTCATAGTCCCTGGCCTATCTCCTAACAACCAGTCCTTTTCCACTCCAGACCATTCTATGTCCTACCATCAAAAGGATCATTATAAAACACAAATATCATTATATCCCCTTCCTTATAATCCTTCACCATCATCTTGCTACCTTTTTATTATTGTCATGACTTTAGTATGGTCTCTACTATTCTGCATGCAATACTCATTTCCCTATAGTCTCCGCACTCTGGAAATCAGATTCTCCCCAGGTCCTCAGACATACCAAGATTTTTCTCCATGGGTCACTAAGTTTCTTCTCATCTACCTAGGATGCTCTTCTTTTCTTTTCCCCTGCATCCCAGTAGTTCCACTCACCTTCAAATCTCAGCTTAGAAATCATTTAGTTCACCACGAAGTCCTCACTGAGCCTCTCCTGACAACTGTTATTCATTCATTTCTATAATTACTAGTATATTTTTCCAGACCAAAAAACTGGTTGGGTTATAGAATATATCATTTTTTTAACCAGTGTTACTTTATGATAAACAATTGATTAGTGTTTATTTATTGAAAAGATCATAATGAAATTTCCATTTTTAGTTTAAAAGATTGACAAGGAGAATATATTGAGCCCATATAAAAACTGCCTTTCAATAATTAGAATTCTTTTTGTAGTGTTCTGTTGTAGCAATATTCAGGATGGTTGATAGAAACATCAATGTTGAGATCATTTTCTGAGAAACATTTAAAATTTTAAGCAAATTAGCATTTCAATGCAAAGGAATCAGAATGATTAACCTGAAGCAATCAAAGGACACAAAGATATATTTCTAATATGAAGGCCAAATTACATAATTTCCTGGGGAAATATTGTTGAATTATGTGCAATATTGAAATAACTTTTAACCTTTACATAAAATTTCAGTTAAAAACCAAAGAGAGAAAAAAAAAACAACAACCAAAGAGAAAACAAACAGTAGACAGAAAAAACAAACATAATAAATCACTCTAGTAGTTATGAACATAGCCCCAACGGAATATCCAAACAGTTGAATAGTTTCTTCAGCCACCATAGTAGGTTCCTGAGAAAGATAAAGAGGGACAATTCCAGAGCACATACACAATTCATTTTAGCAAATCTCTCTGCTTTCCCCCAACCTAAGGTAAATGGACTCTATATATACCTAAGGTAAATGGACTCAACATATACCTTTGACTAACTCAGAGATCTGCTGAATGTCCCATCATCAGGTATGAAAGTGAGATGGAATGTCAGGGACTCATTCTGGAGCCTGAGTCTATAAGTTAATTGGCTCTTGGTGAGGTTTTGGGACACACTCCAAAATGCAGTTCCAGGGAACTTCATGGTTCCAAATTTCCAGCTTCCATAGGATACAAATAGCTGGGGAAGAGAAGCAAGAGGAATTGTGGGTTCTAGGCCCACTGCCCCTCACAAGAAGACCAACACATAGCCATTATACCACTCATCCTAAATTGGAAGGAAAAGGCCATGGGATCCTAATTTCTAGTTACATCACATATTTCTATACACACTTAATTGGTTTATGTAGGCCTGAGGTATAATATGTCCTCAGGGGAGGTGAAAGCCCTTCCCTATATCTGTAAATAAGTGGCTGAAAGGTTTCTCAGACAGGTCAAGTACATGAGTAAATTATATTTGTCATTAGTTTTAGGGTTCTTAATTGAAGAATGATGTTCCTTCTATCTGCTCCCTTTCTGCAAGTGTACATATATCCACACATATACATCCACATACATAGACACTCACATACACCCATGGACCCTGTCTACTCCAACTTGGGTGTGAAGTCTCAGGTCCTGCCTCATGCTCCTTGGAAGCTTTCTTTCCCTCTCTGTGATGTTTAATCATGCACCATGATCAATGTGCAGCTTCCCTAATGCAGTTTACAAACTGGACCAGAATGGTTTTGATTTTCTGTGATCAATTCTTTTCAAACAAAGGTACCAGGAGTCTTGGTTGACTCTTATGGCAATAATAAGGATCTAGCAACCACAGAGATCTCCATAGTCAACCCTGGAATGTGCCTGGTGCCCACTTTCTGGGGGAAAAATGGCATAGAAATAGTTGGGGAGAGAATGAGAAACTTCTCTGATCCATCAAGGTAAAAAGTCATCTTGGGCCCAGTGGATTTAAAAGAAAAAAAAATGGCTCTTTTTGCCAATAGTTCATTTTTGTGACTTTCTTTCCCTGAGCCAATGTAAGGAAAAATATATGAAATCATTGATTACTTTTTGAGACAGCATGTGTAGTACTACTTTTTAGCACAATGGCACAGAGTAGGCAGTCAATACACATTTAAGAAATAAACATTTATTAAGCTAATACTATGTTTTATGAATTTGGAAGTACAAAGATTAAGAACATGCAGAAAGTTCCTTCAAGGCTGAAGACTAGCCACATCTTCCATAATACCCCAGCATTGTTCCCAGAGAGAACTATTATAAATCAGTACTTATTCCATGTCATAGATAACCTTATTTATTTCTCCTTAGGCAACAAAACTTCCTTTGAATCTCTTTTAAATATCATTGTTATTTCTCCAGACTTACTCTCCTTCTGATGGCCTTGCCTTCTCTCTGCCTTACAGTGGTATTTTCTCTTGGTCTCCTTTCAAAATATCCTAAGTTAATACCTCTTAAAAGTCAGCTAAGGTGTGGTAATCAGCAAGCAATGTTATGTATAAAATAAGCCTAATCTCCATTTTAATCTTCAAGTTTGCCCTGGGAAAACTTACCTTATTCTTTTGCTTTTGACATTCGTACATGAAAATAAATTCTTGATTTTAAGGAATTAAATTTATCAAGCTTTTATTTTATTGTTAGTGCTGTTGGGGCGCCTGGGTGGCACAGTCGGTTAAGCGTCCGACTTCAGCCAGGTCATGATCTTGCGGTCCGGGAGTTCGAGCCCCGCGTCAGGCTCTGGGCTGATGCCTCAGAGCCTGGAGCCTGTTTCCGATTCTGTGTCTCCCTCTGTCTCTGCCCCTCCCCATTCATGCTCTGTCTCTCTCTGTCCCAAAAAATAAATAAACGTTGAAAAAAAAATGTATTTATTGTTAGTGCTGTTGTCTTATCCTTGAGAATCTGTTTCCTAACCTAAGATCATATATTGTACTGTTTTTGTCTACAAGTTTTATTTTTATTTTTATATTAGCTGATCGTTCTTCAAATTGAAAAATTTAAATTCCATGATCAGTTGTCATAATATCATTTGTTGCTACCCTCATTCATCTTCAGTGCCACCTCACATATCCTTATAAGTATGGATCTGTTTTATTCATGCATCCAGATATGTATGGATCTGTTTCTGCATGTCAATTCCTGCACAATTACCATACTATCTTAATCATTAAAACTGGAAGACCCACCCTAAAATGACCTCAAATTAATCACAC